CAACGCCTGTCAGTCAATCTTGGCCCAACGCTGCCTACCCTATACCTTGCTGTACATAAAGGCAGACTTCATTTGTGGGCTAGGAGCTGCAGTCTTGCTGGGAAAGAAAACAGGTAACAAGATGTTTCCACTCTCTCACTCCTTTCTTAGGAGAGAAGGAAGACAAAGTGTCCCTGCACATACCGTTCTGAGAATCTATTTTAATTTAAATAGTCTGGAAACAAAGGTCAAAGAACACATGTAATAAGGTTGTTAAAGATCCTATAAAAATCTCTACTTCAAAAAAAAAAAAAAAATCGGAGTCTGCTCTCTATGACTTTTCCCATGTAGTCATTCCAAGCCTCGGCTCAAGCTGTAGATGTGCAGTTGCCGTGTGCTAACCTGGGTGTGCACTCCAATCAAGAGGAGTGACTCTGCCTTCTCCACCAGCCCTGTCTTCCTGCTGTCTTCCCCTGGAACCCAATAAAACGAAATTATTACCTTCCAGCTAATGAAGGAGTGCTTCCTTGATCTGTCGGTCACGTGGTCTTTTGTAATGTATATAGCACAATTTTGGTTGTTATAAATTCAATGATGTAATAACAGATGCTTTCAACATTGGTGTTCAATATGTAGGTGAAGTTTTTTGGAAAAGCTTTAAGCAGTTAAGGATGCAAAAAAAACTCTGCCACCACCCCCAAATAAAGCCAATTTTAACTTTTTTTTCTTTGCAGACTTTATAAAAGATCAACTTAAACATAACATGGAACATAGGAGCTTTTGCATTTTTTCCTGATGCTTCTGGGACATACTGTTCTAACACACCTTCTTTGGACTTTGGTCAACAATCTTGCCTGTGATTTTCAAACAGATGGGATTTTCAAAACCAAACTGGGCTGGCAGTGCCCAATTCCTACAAAGCCTAAAGGCATTGGCTGCCTAAAGCCCGTCGCAAGCTTTCACCAAGCAGGACTTTTGTCTACGCAGGTTCCGTCCCTTTTAGACTTTCTCTTTCTGGATGCTCCCAAGAAAGACCGCAGCAATGAGCCAGTCACCAAAGCACCTGGCCCAGAAACGACCTTAAAAATACTGCGTGATGTAAAATCCAGAAGATTAATGATGATGTTCTTAGTGGCACCATTTGATTGTTACCAGCTCACTTTCAGCTGTTCTGTTGTCCTATTATTCTGCGATTAGGAGTTATGCAACAATAGAAGAATAATTTATTTTTATGGGCAAGATCATTTGAAGCAGCAGATGTATTTGGGTGGGTTATTTTATTTTATCAACATTGTGGAAAAGCAGATCCTGCCACCCCATAAACAAAACAAAAAAAAAGAGTTGAAAACCACTGAGGCTGGAAAGGAGCTGCACATCTGCACCGCCCACGAGGCCAAAACGCAGACATAAAAGACTGTACTTAGTGGGAAAGGGCGTTTAAAGTTGGCCAGGTAAACAAAGGGAGGGGACTTTACTTCTTTGCCCCCCTGCTTGAGAAAGGGGAATCCCTCTCATCAGTGAAGGATGAGAACAGCCTGTAAGAAGCAAAACTCATCTGGATCCCAGACTAACGGGGGAGATGGATTAACTACCTGGCAAAGCGGGAGATCCAGGATTGCTGCTGCCTGAGGAAGCTCAGGACTTCGAGGAAGGACTGCGAAAAAGGGAAAAGGCTTGTAGAATCGGAGAGAGGATGCTCCCACTCCTCTTACTATAGAGTTTTTGTTAAGAAAAAAAAATAATTAAAGCTCTACAACTAAGTACTGATCAACCAACAAGATGCCCTCTCAACACTACATACATCAAAACACAGGAAGAAGAGACCTAATTGAATTTCACTGGCAGCACTTTGAAGTGGTATTCGTTTTTCTTGTACGTACCTGCCTCTTCACCAGCTGTTCCGTGCCATGTTTTCTTTCTTTTTCGGAAAGGAGAAAAGGGAGGGACGTACGGATTGGAATCAGTAGCTGGCATATTTGCTCGTGGATACTAACCCAGTCAGCTTTTTGATGATTTACATCGCTAACAAAATAAGGGAAGAACGATATTTTTGTTTGCTTGGAAATGATGTAAAGAAAGATTATTGTCTGTTGTTTCTTCTGGACCTTCCCGGCAAGAATTACTAACAACAGCCACCAGCCCATAGTCTGCTCACAGAGTACCTAATATACATACTTGATATTCCTAAACAGGAACAGAGTGCTGTCCTGCCAAGTCACCATGATTCCGCATGTTAAAACCTTATTTAAATCACTCACAAAACTCCCGACAGTTAGGTTTGAACAAATGCCTGGCTTTCAACACTGCGGTACATAAAAAAAAAAAAACAAACCAAAGACAAACAAATCCCAAGTCAAACTTGTGAAATCAATGAAATATATAGTTAACATATGACTTCACCGAGGACCCCATATAAAGATATTTGCGTGAACATCTAGAAAGCCCACTGCATGGCTCTCTATTTGATGTGGGCATCGTTGGAAGGGAGGAGGAATGCTTCAGCTGAGTGATTGCTGAGCGCGCCTGCTCCAACTTCCGCTACCCTGCCTGCTGAGCTTTGTCTTAGGCCTTCGCCTTGTTGCCTTGGCTCCATCCTGGGCGTCATCCCTGCCTGCTGAGCTTTGTCCCAAGTCTCATCCCTGCTGCCTGGGCTTCATCCCTGAGTCCTAAGCCTTGTCCTAAGTCTTGTCCCTGTGTCCTGAGCCTCATCCCAGGGCTACTCCCTGCATCCCAGACCACATCCCAGGCTTTGTCCCTGTCTCTCAGCCCCGGCCTTGCGCCTGTCCCTGTGTGGTAGGCCTGTTCCTGCCTCCTGGGCCATCTCCTGACCTCTCTCCCTGTGCCTTGAGCCATGTCTTGGGCCTGTTCCTGCCTCCTGCACCTCATCCTGGGCCTCCTCCCTGTGCCCTGAGCATTGTTGTAGGGCTAGTCCCTGCCTCCTGCCCTGACTTGGGCCTGTTCCTGCCCCCTGGGCATCCGCCCTGTGCCCTGAGCCTTGTTGTGGGCTTTTGCCCTGCCTCTTGCCCTGCCCTGGGCCTGTTCCTCCCGCCTAGGCCTCGCCCCGGGCCTTCTCCCTGCGGCCTGCACCCCGTCCACTGCCTCCCGGGCTGCCTCCCGGGCCTCCCCC